GCTATTCATACAAAAGATGGCATGATGTGTTCTGGGCTTGTTTGTGGAAGTCAAGGAGTTGGGGCTGTGTCGTTTTAGTAATTTTGTAATTTGTTGATTTCATATTTCCTGCACATGAAAATGCCTATTTGATATCCTGTCAGGAGCAGAATGGCAGCTCAACAGTTTTCGGGAGTGGCTCTCGCTCTCGCTCCTGCTTTTTCTACTCGCAAATGAAATAAACGAGAAAATATCTGCATGCCACTTTTTTGTTCATTAAGAGACGCCCACACACACTCACACACACACATATACGCATAGCTCAACCGCAGAGGCCAAAGTCAAGAGCTACAACAACAAGGATGTGGCTGCTACTGCTATCCTGTTGCTGTTGCTGTTGCTGTTGCCATATAAAACTTTATGCTTCGTTAAAAATGATGTACAAATCAAATGCCAGAAGCAATTTAACAACAACAGCAACAAAAACAATAACAACAACCACAACAATGCGCCCGAAACGGAGACGAGTCCTGGCGAAGGATGCCAGCGCCAGCAAAGCGTATGCAAACGGGGCGCGAGGGGCGTGAGCCGGGGCCAAGGCAGCCACGGCCAGCGAGAGCAGTTGCAAAAGGCAATGAACAAAATAAATAAATCATTTAAATGAAATAAATTACACACACATACACACATACACTATACATATGTGTGTGTGTGTGTGCGTGTGTTTATGGAGTGGGCTTTGTGGCAGCCACAGGGCTCATTAGAAAAACATAACACAACCGAACATTCACAACAGCAGCAGCTAGGGGCAGGGGCAGGGGCAGGGGCTGGGGCAGCGGTTGCAAGCGAGTTGCAGTAAGCCAAAAAATAATATTTTGACCAAAAATTGTTGTTGGCCAAGGCGAGAGAAAACGATTTTTCGAAAAATTAATTGAAACTAAAAATGCAAACACGGCAAATAAATAAGCCCAAAAGGCAGACCAAACGCACAAACGGACACAAATGCTGAGCCATAATAAAATAGCAAATATACATATGCGTGTGTATGTATATATATATATAAGTATAGAATATATTTATGTATAAGCCGCATCCGATTCTCTGGCCACTGCATGGTTAGTTATGGCAAAACTAATTGACTAATTTGTTAATTTAAGTTTTGGAATTTTGCAAGCTCAGCACAAATACGATTTAGGGAACTTTCAAATAGAAAACTCTGCTCAAATATGATTCGGGATGCATTTGAGCTGAAAATAAAAGCAGAGCATACACAACAGCTCAGCAGAAAACTGGCCATGACAGCGCAGCTTCAGCTTTACCTTTACCTTTTGCCAAACAAAATCAATATTCAAATATTTTTCTAGAGCTCAATTTGATATTATATAAATTCAAGGTATATTTTTGGCAGTGATGCATGTAGCAGGCAGCAGGAGGCGTGGCAGCTGTGCATATGAAATGTTATATTCGCTTCTGATCAGGCGGAGCAGTTGAGTCTAGGCATGTCCATCTGCCCGGCTTAAAGGCAGCGATCTTTACTTCAAGACCTTAGATTTTATTTTTTTTTTCCAATTTTCTTTTCCAATTTATGCAAGCTACAGGAGTGCGTGTGCTTGTACCTGCTGTGCATCAAGACTTTCTAATAATAATGCAAATGTTGAAATGTTGCATAAATATATATACATGTATATTGGAATAGTCCCGAGCAGGGAGTAGTTTGTAAGCCAAACAAATTGTGCATGCTGCGACTTCATAAATGAATCGAACATCTCGACTGCAGGCTCGACGATCCCTTGGCTTGTCGATCGAGTCTGTAGGCAGTCGATTAAGTGCTACGCTGAGTGGGAGTCTTCTCTGAATGTTCTATGGGTTTTAAATGCATAAGCTTGAATTATTTGAAATTTGATCAAATTATTAATGAATGAAGATATAGAGCAAAGATCTCCAAGATGAACCAATTGCCAGGCTTAATAATTTTAACTTTCAGACTATGAAAGATATATGTATAAATTAAAAGTAATGTAAAACTTTGACTAATCTATAGAGCAGGTCAAAATTTGAGATTTTGGCTGAACAGCTAAGAAAGTGCTGCTTAGCCGTGTTCCCAATGAACCTGGCTTGAAAGTGTTCCCTTTTTGTATACTCGAGTGTTGTGTAAGATATACTTTAAGTAGTCAGAAATCATGCGTTCAAATAGTTATATTTGAATAACCAATTCCCTGGCTCAACGAACAGCGCTCATGTTGCCAAAGATATAGTGATTGCCGAGCTAGCTACAGAAGGCAACATAAATTAAACATATATAAAGATATATATGAAAGAGTTCAACTCTCTGGCTTCACAGCCGGACGAACAGCAGCACAAGCTCATTTCACTTCCTTCCAGATTAAATCACAGCTTATATATATATATATATATATTATAAAAATGAACAATTAAAAGAAATTTCTATATGCTCAAGTGTAGCAAGAAACTGTTTGCCGTGGTGTGCTCAAAACAAAGTTTGACTAAAAACTTCACACAAAATATTGCAAATTTGCTTTCTTTTTTTTTCTTCAAAATATAAACACAAAAGGAGTGGTCCAAGTGGCCTTCCAGCAAATATCAAAGTCAAGCAAACATGTAAGAAAGCAGTCACAACAACAACAACAAATAGAGTGGAGTATTTTGCACTAAAAGCGAAACTACTTAGCATTTGGCATTTGCCATTTGGCAACGGGCGAGAGCGGAAGTGAAAGAGGAAGAGCAGAAAGCCAGGAATGAGGTCAAGAGACAAAATAAGCTTCCGCCGTTGGCAGCATATGTGTGTGTGTGTGCGTGTGTGTGCGTGTAGGCCCCCCACCCACTACTTAGCAAGCCAGTTGAGCAGCTTCCTGCTGCCAAGGGGCCGCTCACAGCCCACAGCCCACAGACGGCAGCTTTCAGCTTTCAACTGCCGAGTCGCAGCTAGCATCTCCCTTGCAGCCACCCTTTGTAGCATAACGGAATTTAACGGTCAAATCGCTTGACTTTTTCCGCCACGTTCGACATGCCATTCCCTAGAAGATTGAGCAGCTCAAGCCCCAAGCCCCAGGCTCAAGTTTTGCTTTGTGGCTGGCGGCTACTATTTTCTTTTTCCTTTCATTTGTTTTTTTTTCAGTATTTTTGGGGGGGCCCAACTTACGCTTCATTAACTCGTTTGATGCCACGTATTGAATTGCCCTGAGCTGGACTGAGCTGTGCACTTCATTTATAAAGCTAGAAGGCAGGAGCGAGAGCCGTTGGCCCAGCGTTTGCATTTGAATTTGATTTACTGTTATCATTTGTGAATTTATAGTTGGCCTAGTCGTTGGCCAGACGAAAATCGCATATTAATTATGCGGCTCGTTGTCGGCCTGTCATTTCGCTGCAGGCTCAATTCATTTACGACAACATTTTGGGGCATGTTTAGCTGAGCGTTTTACTGTGAAATTGTCAAGAAAATGCGTGTTTAAGCCAGATTAAATGCAGCTCGCCGTAGATTTATGGCCCAGTTAGTGAGGCTCTGGCTACGGCTCTGGCTACGATTACGGCTCCATCTCCGATTCTGGCTGCCCGAGCACCAATTCCAATTCCAATTCGTTTTCCCTGTCGCTGTACGCATTGTTTACTCCAATTATTTATGGGTCAAAAAATCAGCCGACGCAGCTATCAAATTTCAACGCCTAGCAACATATATTTCGTATAGCAACATGTTGCTGGCAGCACTAGTGCTGGCAACATGTTTGTGGATGCTGTTTGGTGAGTTTCTCGATTGCCATTACCTTTACCTTTGCCTTTGCCTTTATGCTTGGCTCATTGCCCGTTGCGCCGATCTGATCGAGGTGGCGCCAGCTGCATGTGGGCGTGCCCAGGTGGGCGTACGCATCCAACGGCCGTAGTCAATATCGAAAAAGTAATTAAAGGCAGTGAGCGCCGTTGGGGCAACATTGGGCTGCCGCCACGCCCATCTGCCGCCCCCATCCTGCAGCCCACGAGACTGTCAAGTGCAGTGTGTGTCGCATGCGGTCGCCAAATGGCAATAGCGATAGCAACATCCCAGCAACTAAGCAAACATCACGTCTACGAAATACTCTTACTGCTTATATAAGTGTAGCTTGTATGAATTTTTATCGATACTTGCGCGAGTATATCGATGTTACTCAATTGAAATATGTTTGGAAGATGGAAAATTATAATTTATAAATATGTAATAAAACATGCTAAGGTATTTCTAGCTCAAAATAATCGTTTGCGTCTCTCGAACAGTTGCAGTTCGCCCGTGATATCGATGCCACGCTACTATTATCGTTATCGATACCTTCAAATTGCTTATTCAAGAAAAATGCATATACGACTTCGTAAAGCCCAGTCCTCGAGCCCAGAAGACCATTAGATTCAGATTCCACTTAACTTTCGTTGACTATATCTATATATCTATAGTTTGATAACTTTTATGACAGTCTAATTCCACACTTTCCGTAATAAACATACACTGATCGATAACAACTAAAATTTAAAATGATCGATAATCAGGGAAAACGTTAAAAGCTGTCCGAAATAATTGATTTTGATAATCTTAGAGCAACTAACTGGTCAAGTCAAAGCTGTTGGCATAGGGACTATGCCCAGGCAATGTAAATATATCACGCATCCGCTTTATGCAACGCAAACGACAATTATCAGCGACATGAGCAAACCAATTGTGCGGCCGCTGTTCGCTGTCCTGCGTGCAGGAAGTGTGCGATAGGCCATGCAGTCATCCAGCCAGCCAGTCGCCAGGACATCAGCAACACTGCAGGTGGGCCTGAGTTGTGGGCGGTGCTAGTTGTGTGTGTAATTGTCGTGATGCTGGAGCCACAAAAACTGATTACAGTGCTCAATAGTCAAATAGGCGAGCCGTATTCGGACATGTCCTGCGGCTACTTCCGCCATCAAAGGCCAACCTCCGATTGGACGTTATTAAATTTATTCAATACTTTTACAGTCTTAAGTCTAATAAAAAAAAACACTCAAAGTTGCAGAAAAAGAACCATAGCATAGCAAATTCAATCAATAATACAAAAAAAAAAAAACATGTTTTTTGGGAACTTAGAGCTAAACAATTTACAGATCGTACGATACGTAGGTACAGATAATACGCGACCTGCTCCATCTAGTTGGAGCCACTTGGCGGCGGTTTCAATGGGGCTCGCAGTTCGACTTGCAGGCCAGCATAATAAATAGGTACAGAATAATTATACAACAAATACATACACACATATATGCACACACACACATAGACATACATATGCACACATATACATATATAACAGACGGGAGAATCGGATGGCCCCATGCTGCCTCCTCTCTAAGCCTCCTTGACCTTGGCATCCAGTGCATCCTGGACAAAGGCGTGATTTTCGATGCCATTTTGCCGCGTCACTGCTGGTGTCGGCGCTGCTGCTGCTGCTGCTGCTGCTGCCGCTGCCGTGGGATTAGCATCCGCATGCTCTAAGGATTCGTGTATCACATTGGCAATGATGCCATTCAGCTGGCCCTTGGCCTCGCTGGCCAGCGCCAGCGCCTCGATCGCATTTATATTGCCATTCGCTTCCCTCACGGAGCCGTGTTCCGTATCCGTGTGATTTCCTTTGCTACGCTGTCGCACCTGGAAGCGATACATCCAGCTAAAGTGCCAAAGAAAGGGAACGTTAGCGACGAGCAGTAGTTGATTGCAGCTGGTGGTACTTACAGGAAAATGCCCACGGAGAACATGGTTAGACCACCGCCCAGTAGAAAGAAGGCGCCCGGAAGCACCCGGAGCGTTGCAGCGTACAGCGTCGTATACATGGGTGCAAAGACCATGGGCATGAGTGCCTCGGCGACGCCAAACAGTGAGTTGACCTTGCCCAGCTCGTCCTTGGACACCAGCTTGGTGGCTATCGAGCGCATGGCTATGAATGCCGTGCCATTGAAGATCTCTACCAGGCCGCCCAGATACATGTGCCAGGGTAGCGTGGCGAAAGCATAGACGAACGACGACAGTATCTTGGAGGTGCTGGAGAGCACGCCAACCAGAGCATCATCGATCTCCAGCTTGTGCGAAAGTATGCCCACACAGAAGATGACGCCGATGAGACCCGTAAACATTGCATACGTGGAGAAGAAGCTGAACTCCACCTCGGACCAGTTGAAACGGAAGCGCGTGAACAGATACGTGACCGCCATCTCGCCGTGCAGTGGCCCAATGATCACCATCACCACGATCATCAAGAGGATGACGCGCTGGCGTCGCTGGTTCTCGCCCTTTTTGAAGGCCACACGGAAGGTCTGCACCACATGCTCCTTGTCAAAGAAGTCTGCCAGCAGACTCTTCTGAGGCGCCGTCTTCTCCGGTCGCGCCACTGGCTCTTCCAGAAAGAAGAATCCATAGACAAAGGCCAGCACGTAGAAAGCCGCCGAAATGGAGAACACGCCATAGAAGCCGATTTGCCTAAAGGTAGAGGTAGAGGGTAAGTACTCGATGCTTTGGCGTGGCTGCCTCACGGGTCGATCACTTACTTGAGCAGCACGCCACTGAAGGCCATTCCAATGGGCACGCCCACTGAGAAGCAAACGTTGAGTATGCCAATGCGCAGAGTGCGCTCCTCCTCGGTGGTTATGTCCGCAATGTAGCTGAAGACGCCCATCAGCATAGTGAACCAGCCACCGCTGAGCGATGGGAATATGGCCTCCGTGAGTGCGGCCGCCTCCATTGGTGCGTTCTCGAAGTAGACACAGAGCATTAGGCCGACAACGCCGAGAAATTCGCCCACCACTGGTATGAGAATGCAGGGCTTGCGACGCCGATGCCGATCGCTCCAGGAGCCCCAGAACAGGATCAGCAGGCAGGGAAAGAGCGATTGAATCACCGTCTTCCATGCAGCCATACGAGCGACCATCTGTTGCACTGTTTCCTCCTCCCTGCCAGTTAGAGAATTGGGGAATTCGATTTAGATAAAGGAACTGTCAGCTTATTGGTTGCACTCACATCGTATAGTTGGCCGTCTGACGGCGAGTTAGCGCATCGCAGATCTCATCCCCATAGGCCATGTTTACCCGGCACGCCTTCTCCAAGTTCAGATTCTGTGTGGCCAAATTCGAGAGCACGCTGGGCATGATATACGCGGCGAGTATGGGCTCCACAGTGATGTTGTTGGCCACCAGTCGCAGCTTTTCGCGCCAGGTGCGCTGAGCTGTTGGCGCTGCTGTCTTGCCATCTGCTGTCTTCTCCTGCCCCAACTGCGTCGCTGTAGACATTGCGGGGTGACTAAGCGTATATTTATTGTTATGCTTCGGCGGGTCAATGCCGACGCCGTCTTTGGGTGACATCTTCAAGTCTAAATGGATGAAGTTAAGTATGCAAATAAAGTATTTGACTTGATAATAAAATATGAGAATTGCATAGAAAGGCTTTGATAATATGGAAATGCATTGATATAGCTAAAGCTTAATACAAAAATATTTACTGAGCACATAATTCTAAATCAATTAAGATAAGCCTGAACTCCAGTGCAACCTCCTTTAATATCTTGAGAATCTCATAGAAGAGCTATATTTTAAGTAAGAATGGCCTTTCCAAAAAATAGCTTAATTGCTATGGCAATGATGACTTATCAAAATCTGTTTAGCGCAATGCGAAAGTCATGCAATATCGTTAATCGAATCTATTAACGACTTCAATAACACAGAAATCTGTTTTGCATTTGTTTCTGCTATTTTCTTGCTTTCCATGAAAACAGATTGTGTGGGGCATGTAATCAAGACATTATTTGAAAGCATGTATTATTATTATTTTTACTATTGTATACAAAGCAGCTCAAGTTTCTGGGCAATCTATTCGTATTTGCCATTGCAGCTAATTAAACGTACATAAGACAAGTGATCGTGACATTTATAAATATGAATGGTTTTTTTTCTTTTGATACTCCTTCACGTAGTGAACAGAGTATATTGGCTCTGTGCAATGTCCGTACTGCCTGTCTGGAACGCTGGAACCCGAGGCGTATTGGCAAATTCTAGCTCAGATATAACAGAAAAGCTGTTCTTTAATGGGAATCAAGAGTTCTTAGGATAAGATAGTCAAATTGCAGGCGGCTCCCCAGCCCCAAAGATCATCCTCTGTGAATTGTCATTGATTTTAGATTTAATTTGGCTAGCTTTTTGGGCAACGAGTATTAGTCAGTCCGTCATTCTCACTTGTTTTTGTTTAAGAAAGCGTTCCCCGTGACAGCTATTTAAAGAGCTTTAATGCCAGCTGCAAAAAGAAGCGACTGTAGCAAAGTCCATAAAATTGAAAAAAAAAAACAGAACCATTTAAGTCGAGTGGCATAAAAACAGTCGATTAAAGAACGTAGAAACGTGCATCAACTAGACATCTTGACTTAAACATATGTACATAAATGTAATAGCTGTTATATTCATTATATGTGAAGCTTACTTTGGATCTCTTGTTAATCACTCAGCGAGGTGCACTGAAGATCAAGTCAGATCCCACTATCGAAATTGTTAGTTATTCACGCAGCTAAGTCCAATATTTTAGGCTTAACATAAAGTTAATAAATCCATATGCAGAGCAGCTTTATAATGCAGCAATTTATAAGTTAATCAATCTCTGAAATGACAGCGATAATTCGTCTGGCAAATGTTTAGGCTCTAACTGTAAAACAATGACAGATATATATTTTTTCATAGCCTATAAGTGTTTATCTGTGGGTGATAGAAGCTCGTATATATTTAAAAGTAAGAAGGCTCAGCTTGCATGACAAAAAGTAGTTCCCGGCCTGTTGCACCCCAGTGGGCCTGGCCGAAAAAGCTTGACTCTTAAGAGACGTGTAAATATGCTGAGTGTTAACTTTAAAGACAGTATATATATAAATCAGATATCAGGTATCTATATATATTTGATATCTGCTTTTCTTAAGCTGTTTTTCTCTTAGATCTTCCGCTGAACACAATCCACACACACACACAAATAGCATGGAGCCAGCTGAAACATGGTCTTCATATGCATTCCACAGAATCCACGATCGCATCAGGGCACAGCGTAATCGATCATTCAGTAAGTTGTGTGTTGTGATCGCTAGTTGTGGCTGTTCTCTAATTTCCACTTAACTACATAAGTATTAATGGTGCTGCCTGTGGGGGCATTCAAGCTTCACTTGCCGCCGACGCTGTCACAGTTTGCTGTCATTCTATTTTTATGCGCATCTCCCACTTATTCTGATTGGATTATTTGTCTGTGAGCGATCGTTAGCAAAAGTATTTTATTTGCATTTGTATTTTGTATTTTGGGCATTCGGCACTGCCCCGTTTCATGCTGTACAGCTTTTGTTTTTTCCACTCTTCCAAGTGCATAAGCGGCATACCGAGTGTCAATCAAGCGGCACGCTGACATCAACGATAACGTCTATGTCAAAGTCAGTGTCAGCACCTGCGCCTACGTCAAACTCCGTGCTGAGCTCGTGGCTGTACCACGCACTTCGTCTTGTTGTCGTCGTTGTGGCTGGCAGGCGACGGGCTGGCTGCTATGTACCACTTATTATTATCAATTATCATTGTCGATTGCTCTCTGTATTGCTCGGCACCTGCACCACCCATCGATAAAATATTCTTTTTTTTCTGCTTCTGTTTTTTGTTTTGTCAATTTGCGATGTGAACATGAATTTTCATCAAATAACAAAGTAATGGAAACCTAATTACATTTGTGCTACTCGATTGTCTTCACAACCTTTTCGCGTCACGTGTTTATCACCTCATTTTGCAGGTAAAAGTATTACTAAAAAAATATTGGTGTGCGCCTTCAATTAGTTGATATTTATATTTATATTTATATTTATATTTATATTTATATTTATATTTATATTTATATTTATATTTATATTTATATTTAAATTTAAATTTAAATTTATATTTATATTTATATTTATATTTATTTTTATATTTATATTTATTTTTATTTTTATTTATATATATTATTTACATTTACGAATTACACTCAAGTCTCGATTGTAATCGGATTCAATTTATATCTGAGCTGAGCACTTCAATTAACTTAATTTATTTATTTATTTGTATATAACAAAGCTAAATCTAATGCGATTAATTTGCCAACGCTTCAAAATGGGTCTACACAGATTACTCAACTAGAATGAACAAAAAAAATTAAGTCAAACATTTTTTGCACTGGTTCAGCTTGAAATATTTTGAAACATTCGAAAACCGGCTTAGACATATTTATAAAAATATTCCGTTAGTATTCATATATTTATATATATTCATATATATCTATATCTCATAGTACAATCAAGAGACAACAAAGCGAAGCTCATCGAGAGTCTGTAGCTTAACTTAGACGAAAACAATTATTATCAATTATAATCTAAGTCTGAAAAGTGGAAAGAACCAAAACTATTTTTAAGTTCTGTTCTTAAAGAATCATAATACTAATTGAAGACCTCGGCAACCTCGTATGTAAGATAGCTTACGAGTATATTGGTTTTGTCTGTCCATTTGTGGGCCGGCAACTGGAACCTGGCCAATGAATCAAACTGTTATGGGACAGTGAACGTGTATTGTGCAGTCGGTTGCGCCCGTTGCAGTTGAAAGCTTTATGCACATAGTCTTAAGAGTTGTGTGATTTTTAGCTAAATATTAGTACAACTAGCTATTAAAATAAGACCTATAACCAGTGAAGCATCATATGTTAAGTGTCGTGAGGTAACATCTATGAGGTATATGCGCACATCAGGCTATTTCACTTACTGCATAGTACGAGCATGTACAGACAGATTCAAATGTATTAAAAGCATTTGCTGAAAACTTAGCGACGACTCTTTGTGTTAGCATCCATTAAAAGTGACAGAAATTAAGCTAATTGACCTTGACAGTCGCACACACGCACACACACACGCGCAAACAGATAGAGGAAGAGAGAGAGAGAGGCAGAGGGAGACAGAGACAGAGACAAAGAGCTTTGGCGGCCCACAAATTGCATCGCTGGCAGTTTTTAGTCTTCAATTTCCGTCAACGCAGCGGCCAGGGCTGCCAACGCTGACGCCACTGGCCGCCCAAAGACAACTAATGTCGAGCTTGGGTTAATTATAGTCTGACTATTTAGACTAGCATGTGTGCACACACACACACACAGACACACATATGGTGATGACAAAGTTCATTATTTAGCATTGCCCTGCTCCATTTAAATCAAATCTCTTATAAAAATCTCAACGGTTTGTCTGAGCTCCACTAAGTAGTCAAGTAATTGCAACTGTTTTTGAAGATGATAAAATTCGCATTCGTAAAAAAGGGCGTTAATTTAGGTGGCAGCTAAATTTCTCAGGCGCAATCACGTCTGAACTTGAAATATATTCGCCAAGCCCACCCAATCGTGATTTTGTCACAAAAAATATAACTTGCAAACAAATAACATTGATCACACCCATTTCATTGCAATGTTTTAATAGCTTTATTAACTTTTGATTGTTTTGTTTCATCAGATAATCGAATACTATAAATAATTGACTGGAAGCATGATATATATGAAGAGACCTTCAATTAACAAAGAGTAGCAGTTGATATTCGACTTAAAGAAAGTTCGCAGAGAACGGCGAGACTGCTTAAAAATTAAGATGCCAGCAAGAAAATGAAGAGCTGAGAATCGCGAAGAAGAGCTGCAAAAGAGCTGTATATAAAAGTAAGAGAACTTCGTTCGAGTCTCATGAATAACCGAAATTCGATAAACATAATTTAGAAACTATCAATAATATTTCGATTTGCATTGAAACACTTCGTATGCCGCCTTAGCCACGAGGCGCACATCAATCATTAAATCTATCCAATTAATATAGCCAATGCAACACATTAATTCGAAGTGGTCTGCAGCCCTGAGATATTTGATTCTTTTTATTCATATATATTTAAATTATCTGATTCCAAAAACGTGCAACGGCCGACTGATAATAGTAGTACGCCGTCAGTGGGTCTAAAGTAATTAAGTAATTGGCGTGTATTACCAGATATGTGCATAATACAGACGTGTCTGTGCATATCATTTACCTAGTGGTTGGCCATCAATGTCAGAGCCGACTTTCAGTCAACGTGCATTGAACCCCAGCCAAAAATAATTTAAAAAACAATAGTGAAAATATTACAGCAAGCCGTGAACACGTCTATCGATGCGCTTTTTTGGACTGGATTATGGCCTTAGTTGAATGTCACTTTACCAGGAAGTGTCGTGATCTAGCATATTAACTAACTGGCGGATAAATAAGTGTCACTTGGTTAATGGGCATACATAAGCTTATAAATTTGCCAAGTTCATTATTCTTTATTCTTTATTCTTTGTTGTTTATCATTATGCATAATCACAGAGATTGGAGCTAGAGCCAAGAATATATATTGTATAGTTATAGTTGAGTAAACATGCTAACAGCTTATCGCAAATCTGAAAACTATCAGCATATAAAATTAATCACATGTGAAGTTTATAAATAAGTTGCGATATTTTGAACTTCCTCGATCTCAGCTGGGACTGTATATAGTTTTAGGAACAATGATTTCGATATGTCATCCTCTATCTGTTGCCCCATCTTTCTCTCTGACTTAATTTTATTGTTTTCTGCATTTTGATGTTCTTGTGCGAACAAATTGCTTAGCTCATGCGATGCTTTCACAATTAACAAAATAATGGACATTATTAGAAATAATAATATTACAAATGACAATTAAATTATTAGATTTGCCAGCTCGATGTGGCGCGACATTGCGCGGCTGTTGTGAAAACTAAAAAAAAAAACCTTTGCCAGTTAATGAAACAAATTCAATTTGCGGGAAATTCGCTGAAAACTTTGCCGGGTTGTTGTCTCTCTAATCATATTTTTACCCATTTCCGGCTGCTGACAAAACTTTTCACACACCCCCACGCACACACACAGCCTCAGAGAGAAACACTCGTCGGCGCTCTGAATTGTCCACTAAGTTATTGATTGCATGCCTATCTATGAGATACATCGGATTGTGCACATTGGGGGCGGCAGACGACATCATATGAAATTAAACTGTGCTTTAGTTAAAGTCTGAATTGAAAATAGTTAAATACAATTAGTTGGCGAAAAAAGGAAATAAAACGGCTTTCAGTTTTATTTTTTATGCGCAATTCAATGATAAAATAAAGAGCTAAATATAGTTTCAGAAAGATAAAGGGAGAGACAGGGAGAGATCGAGGGGCAGGTCGAGAGATACTTGTGTGCGAGTTTTGAATAGACAATGTTTTATTTATGGGGCTTAAACAGTCGAAATTGCGGCAGTTCCGACAAGCGACGTGTGCGGCGACTCCGTAAACAAAAAACACACACACACATAAATCGGAGGGAGAGGAGGATATTGCTTTGTAAATTTAAACACTAATTTGGCAATCACAGCTGAAAACAAAAGTCCCCAACCCAAAAAAACACACAAAAAAATAAATAGGAAAAATTAATTCTGAATAAATGCAAAATTTAAGCTAATCAAAATACCAAATAAAAGGAAAAAAAAAACATTTAAAAAATGACACGCAAAACTAAAGCCCAACATATGATCTTCTCCGATGAACATATATATTTATGCATATATCATTAATCAAGTCAATGACAGGTTGGAAAAAAACAAACAAAACGCAGCACATAAATAGTAACAAATAAATAGAGAGAGAACAACAAAAAAAAGACAACAAACAAAAAAAAAAGAAACTGCGCGTAACATAAATATTATGAATGTGGACAATTTGTAGTTGGTAATTTTGTTGCATGCCACTGGCACGCAAGCACATCAACTCTGAATAGCAACAATAACAATAACACACGCACACACACACGTAGAGTGTAAGCGTTGACGAGCGCGAACAAATTTCACGACAAACGCGAATTTGATTTAATTTACATGTCTCTAATGAAATTAGTAGTAAAGAGGCACACACATACAGACCCACACACACAGAGAGACACGATAAACTCACTTTTAGTTAACTATCTGTTGTATTAGTCGTATTTCAATTCCTTGATCAACGCTCGCAGCCAGGATGTCTGTGTTTTGATTTCTTTTCAGAGTTTTTCCTTTTTGCTTGCAACAGCTACAGCATGACAAACGCTGTGTGTTGTCTATTGTTGTTGTTGTTTTATAACTTTTTTTTTTTGTAGAGGGCTTAGTTAACGAGCTTTACTATATACGTAAACCAGCGGTGTTGAGCTGAAATCAGCGACTGAAATTTGTATTGAATTTAGTGAGTGCCGTCGGCTCGGCGGCACACACTGCCAGCGCCGATCACTCAGATCCAAGCTTGCGGCAGCGGCAGCGGCAGCGGCAGCGCGAGAGCGAGAGCGACACCAACGCCGACGCCGACACAGCGTAAGTGACGTCTGATAAGCCCCAAAGGTAGCTTCTGTATTTGTCTCTCCAAAACACAGAAAGAAATCAAATTAAATGTGTAATCGGAGTTGATATATATATATATATATATATATATACAGTATGTACCTATGGATATCTGCAAGAAGAAGCTTTAATTTCTCTGGCTATATTGCGAAAAGATTGTGGCCAAAGTCAAGAGCTAGCGCCCAACTCGCAAATACCCTGTAAAATCTATGCTAGTAAAACAGTTTTATTTTAAAATAAAACACTTACTTTTAAATATTAAAATAAAAAAATAAATGCATATATTTATTATATATTTTATATTAACTTTTGTTTCTTTGCTCTGTCAGATCGCACGCTAACAATCGACCCTTCCAGCTGTATCGACACTTTTATCTGGTCTTTCGTTCGTATCAGTCAAAAACCCACAGACCTTGCCCAACTTTATTATGCCCTATTTGCTGTGCAGTCTCTATATAAGCATCTGCTTAAATAGATATACACGTAGACGTTATATATTAATACATTGTGTAAATTGTTGCCTTTAGATATTCATTTTACGCACGTCAAAGGCTGCTACTATTGGAGTTTCCAATTATGTTTGCCTGGTCGCAGTTGGTAGGCTTTGCATATGAGCGACATTAACGACGTTAGCACTTTTTTGTACTCTTTGGGGGTCGAACACAAATGAGGCTAAGAGCTGGCAGTGGGACGCAGAGGGAGGCCCTACTGCAGCTTGGAGAGTGATGCGGCTTGATTCACCTTGTTATCGAGTGACTTGAAACGTGTTGCAGCTTATTGCAACTAACTAGTGTGAGTTAATATTTTCTATGCTCTGTCGACTAAGTTTGACTTAAGTGCGATTCTCAAGAAATCGAATCTAAATATATAAATATCACGTACAAAATATATAAATAGGAAAAAATCAATATTAATTAGCTTTGATAATTGAATTTATCGATCGAGGGAATCCCAAAGCGCCAAGCCTTCGTGATCGTGTGCATTTGTGTGCGTGTGTGAGTGCATTTGTGTGTGTGAGAGCGTGTTGCACGCCCTTCGGCAATTCGTGTTCAACTTTTAGCCAACCAATTGCGCCCTCAGCCTTCAAAAAAGACCGCAACTCTGCGGAGTCCATTGACTGATGCCGCAGCCAAGCATCGGCGCTGAGCTGTAACGCTGAATCCCCCAGCCCCACGCCAGCTGCTGCAGCTGCAACCAGCTGGCAGCAATACAAATAATAATAGTAATGATAATGCTAAATATAATTGATATTAAGCATGTTGTTGCTTAAAAAAATAATTGTTCAGCTCGAAGTGGCGAAACATAATTGTCCTGACAAACACATTTGACTAGATTTCTCAGACAATTGCATAGAACCGTGTCAATAGCACTCCAAGTCGATGCAATATGTCTTTTAACTTATTTGCATAGACTTGTCCAAGCAGCTGGCAGGTCTAGTTCAGCATAGGGCTTCATGTTGACATATAATAATAATAATGTTAATAATCGTAGTATTAATATTTTTGAGCTAAAAATGTTTTATGAACAGGTCGTCGCACTGCATTCTCTGCTTAACGACTAAAACAAGTCTCCTCTTTCAAGGCCCACATACCACCTTGAGGCTGGGCATTATGTGCTCTCGCTGCTCTGCAGTTTGGTAGTTTTGTAATGCGCTGCTGTCATTGCTGCTGCTGCTGCTGCTGCTGATTAATTTCCAATTGAAATTATGTTTGTGTGCCGCTAACAAAGACAGCGAATCTGGAACAGCTACCGCCGCGTGACCCTTCCCCGCCCCACCCAGCAGCGCGCAGCCGTTTTGAAGCGCTTTGTCTATCCGCTGCCAGTTGTTATTATTATTATTTTGTTGTTATTGTTGTTTTCTTCTGCTTCTAATTTCAGCATGTAAGTGCACGGTTTGGCAGACAGCATTGCTCAGCAATGGCAACCGCAGCAACACTTACTCAGCGCCAAGTACGCGTTGCTACGGAGAGGGCGGAGCGTGTCACATGACTCGTATCCATACTCAAATGTCAATAAATCAAAGTTAACAATACAAACTTTCTTTTTGCACAGTTTCTCTAGCCAAAAAATAAAGTCCAACAGCGAGATAGACTCGTCTAAGCTAGAAGATACCACGTAGATTGCCGAGATAAACTAAAGAATTGATATATTTTTTATTGATAAACATTTGTATAGCCTGAACCCAGTGGAAGTGGGAGTGGAGGCTTGGGAAAATGTATGTAACAGGGGGTAGCAGGCGTGGCAGATCCCTAAAGCATATATACACTTGATTAGCTCGATGAGTTCAGCCAATCTCGTATGTCCGCCTGTCCGTCCGTCCGTCCGTCCGTCCGTCCGTCCGTCCGTTTGTACGACTGTCTATACGTCTATCCGACTGACCTTCAAAAAGCTAGTGGCTTGACATTTTAAATATATATTTCTGTATATCATATGCAGTACGAACTTAGCTTTTCTTTCGATAACTCATTCCTTATTATCGATCAAAATCGATAACAATTACAGAATAAAATGCTAGTGGGAGGCATGGTGTGACTTCATTTGAGTCAAGACTCGCTCAGTTAGATCTTCAGGCTGTGCTTTTGTTAGCTCCAGCGTGAACTGGCAGAGCTAATTGGGCTATTTGGCTGACAATCTAAGCGCTTCCCATAGCAAAGCCCATGAGCAGAGAGCGTTAAGTGATTGGAAGATCAGGTCTTGCTACTCGATCATAACATGAATATATGAAAATTAATTTTAGAAATTATTCCATATAAATGCGAATTTGAAGTCATTTGCAACTATATGATTTGAATTAATTGCAAAGTGAAGTATTTAATTTGACTTGAATTGCTTCCGCTAGCCGAAGCGCAACTCTGTTTCAGGCGACGCGTTCGCTGAGTGCTGATGTGGCCGATGGGGCAATTGATTAATTGGGCGCGCTAATTGACATCATTTCATGGCTTTTTGGCTCTATGCATAAAATTTTCAAAAATTATTTCTCGCTGCTCATTAAGCAAACAAACAAAACAAACAACAACAGCGGTAACAAATCAGCGACAAGCGCGTGCTCTTAATGAGACGAGGCTGTGGCCTGAGGCTTGAGGCAGCGTGTCGGCTGGGTTGGGAGTCAGCTGGCGCAGATGGTACGGCGATATTGGCCAAGTAGGTAAAAGCCCGGAGGCGGACGCGCTGTTAAGCGCCCAACCAGGTGTCAAAACTTCGCCCGCAACACCACAAAACGCTTATGTATATTAGACAGCCATTAGCACAGGCAGCAGCAGCAGCAGCAACAACAATGGCGTTGAGCTGCAGCTAACTCTGACCAGCTCAATGCTGGCCAAGTTTCTGGCCGTTGCACTTGCGGTATTCGCACTAGCCCAGACAATGCTGCCAGCTGCTTCCAACAATTCGCCAAAATTGACGCAGCAAGTGCCGAATGCTAAATACCCTGACAGCAATACAATATCCAGCTGCAAGTATGAAAATGAAAGAAATGTCAAAATGTCGGATTTAATATTGAAATTAGCTCAGAAACTTAAGCAAAAATATGTTTTAAATTTTGAATTTGAATTTGAAGTGGATTTTGCTGCCTCCATTTGCAACTCAACTTGACCAAATAGCTGCATCAAGCACCTCTGCCCAACGTATAGGGTATTCCAGCTATTGTCCTTCAGTGGCAATGACTGCGCTGCCAGCTGCGACTGTTGAGCGAATCAATTGCAAGGTCTGCCCCGTTATTAACAGTAATATTTAACTATTATAAAACTGCACAGCTGTACATAAAGCCACGGTTATGTACAGTTATAACTGCTACGGCAAGTGCGTCAATACGAGGAATGCCAAATGCAAATATGCAAAAATACAAAAAATTAGAATTAAATGGGATTGATTAAAAAAGTAGTTCACATATTGAAAACCTACTGAAAGTCCCATTAGCTTAAAACTGTTTGATATTATTTATGGGCAACTATTTCGTTAAGCTGAGCGAGTCGCATGACTATCAGATAATTTAAGTTTAATCAATTTAAAGATTTCAGTATTAAATTACTCATAGTTAAATATCTTAGTATGCATACTGCAGCCTACTGGTACAGTCAGCATCTAGGAAGCAACTCGGCTGCTGTCATATTTTCATTTATTGCTCATACGCAGCGTACGCCGCAGTCTTTGGTCGAGCGCAGTCCGCTGCACCTATTGGCCATTTATCCGGTGCAAAACCACTTTTGCGCTGCGCTGTACTCTTTTGTTTAATACCTCCTTTGGTCGCCTGCCGTGCAGCTCTATAAGGCCGCCGCAACAGGTCTGGTCGCGGGATGATTGCATGCATGATGGCTGGCATACGTGCGCACAGTGCACAGCTTTAGGTCTTTGGGGCTCAGAGAGCTCACTCCCACACACAGACACTGAGTACACGCACAGTGGCCAGCGTGCTGCGTGCGTCCATTGAGCTGTAAATGCGCTGCTTAATCATTCGATTTGAAAACTTTGGCTCATAAATTAAGTTGTTCGTTCCTTTGCATTTCGATCTGTCCAATTGATTGATTGACTGCCACCGTAATGAGCCGCTATGCACATACGCTTGTGATCGTTGGGCCAGCGTGGCAATGTTGCATGCACCTTCCGTCCACAACTTGGCGTGTCAACTGCGCCCCTGGGACGTGCGTTTTATGTATGCTACTTAGCCAAATACTTATATATGGCTATACATTTGTATATATATATAGTGTGTGTGTGTGCGTGCGTGCGTGCATGTATTTTTATCCACATATTTATTATCTTATATGGCCTCAAGTTGCATGCGTTCACTCAATTTAACTCGCAAACCGGACGGC